GGAAGCCAAGGATACTAGCTGACAATACAAATATCTGGACGCACGATTGGTCTCGGCCACCACTGCCCTGTGCAAACTGAACTGAACTGAACTGAACTGAACTCCCGCTAGTCAATCGCCGAAAATGGCTTCTGTTGAAAATGAGGGTCCCTCTCCGACGATGGACGCAGAGTTGATCGACAAGAAAGAAGAATCCCCTGCCCCTGAAGGGCAAAAGAAAAAAAGAAAACAAAAGGGGGCGGGTATGAAGCCATAATAAAATTCTTCATATACGTGAAAATCTCGCAGAAATAATTTTGAGGGATTTTCCCCAACATATTAGCGACGAACAAAAGCTTCAGCTTTTGTGCGAAAGGTTGTACGAAAGTCAGCAGGAGCAGAAAAACATAAATGCTAAGGTGAAGCAATACGAGCAACTTGTAAAATCGGTACGTTCAGGTAGAATATAGGAATTACGGCTTATAGTTCATTTATCTTTACCCTAATCTACTAGGTTTTGTGCCATTATGTTATAAATCAGTTGTTGCGTGCACATGCTTACATGATATTGTTAACAGGCAACAACAACCGTAAACAGCTGTTTACGAGTTGTTGTTTCTTCTGGAATAGTGACTTCGTTAAATATTCTTCTGTAATTGACCGCAGCCGCAGTGATCCCCATAGCCAAACATACCTGCTATTCAGAATTAAAAACCGACAAACTAAGCCCCGGGACTTGAGGTGTTGAGTCACCTAAAACTGTAGTGAGATATACGTGTTACTGAAAATTGCTTCTCCCCGTGTTCAATTGCTAAAGTAACCTCTCCAGGGGGTGAGAGCGGTAGTCAAGGTAGCCAGGTGCCCAATCAGCTGGCCTTATGAGACTGTTGATCTGTCCTCTACCGATTGACCTTTCAGGTATGATTGAACCTGTGTCTGTGAGGAGCCATCCTGCGTAGCTCGCGGGGTCAAGGCGGTACGCAAACCATCTCACCAAGTCAATATGCAGTTTGGTTGTGTTAAATAAATGAATACAAACGCAAGATCTGAAACTGCTACGGTTTCTCAGTCATATGATACTGCTTGGCAAACTGCTGCGTTCTAAAACTGGCTCATTTTTAGCCTAACCCAATGTCTCCAGTGGAAGTGTGGTATTGCTCCAGGCAACAACAGCGCTGTCCAGCACTATAGGCCCAGTTTGGGTTGAAAATGTCAAAAAAAACCCCATCAAGTAAAGAAAAAAGACATCTTTGTGAGATCACGTATGCGTCGCAGTTGTAATTGCAAGCATCTGATCTGTTTTGATGAATGCATCTAGGCTGTGATTAATATTTGCCGAATATTCTCAACGTAACACTCGGAAAACACAGAGGAATTGGTTTCTAAATTAACCTTACTTGTTTTCTTACCTTACTTTTCGTGAATTTTGTCTATGCTGTGGTCCCTTTGGCGTATCGTCGACCCACCACCGATCTATATATGGCCATGTTACACACCTTTGTGAAGAGCGAAATAAGTACGTGATTCACTCATGGACCGAACACTGTCAATTTTCCTAGATCAAAGCAGAGGATTTACAACCAATGCTTTTGGTTAAACAAAGGTGAACACTCATTTCAACATTGCGTGACCCTTACGTCCTTTCGACGGGGTTGAACATCTAATTTACCTACTGCGCATCTACACCCAACTTCCACAACCAAAGTTTTTGTGCTTCTTACGTCTCATCTGGTATGGTTTTAAATCCGGGTTTTCATCCAAATCCTCTAGGTAAACTGCCAGTGGTTTAACGACCCAGTTATAACCCCATATTTTGACTTTTCGTCTTCCCACTTTGGTGTTAAAGACTAAATAGGAATTCCTCACCAGAAGCTCTTTGAGGCTTGGTCGTATGGGAGCATTTTTCGAAATCTAAGAGAAGGCTGGTCAGACACTCACTGACAACTGAACGTTTGTCTGACCTCATAACTACCACCGTCTGCGAAAGCCTCAGTATGGTCGGTGGTGGGTGTCTTGGGTTAACTGGTCACCCTTTCCTTGCACTTGGAGAAACGCTACTATGCAACCAAGCGTCTCAAATAGCCTCTACTGATGAAGCCCTACTTACTGCCCTCCGGTGGCGGAGGTATTTCTCCACCAAAATGAATAAGAAAAGCCTACACTCGGGACTACAACCGAGCCGATAAATCATTGGGAGTTCACCTGTCGCTTGCATTCTTATCTATCCGAAATTCGAGGACTAAGTTGACGGTACTATTCTTTACGCGGTAAGTCTTATAAAATGGAGTTTATTTTTGTGTACTTTAGGTTCTATGGTATTTGTTTTTTTACGTTGTACTTTTGAGTTTCATCCGACTGTTTCTTTTCCCTTACACTCCATGCCTCTTCCACTCAGATTAAACAAGAACGTGATGTCTTACAGAACGAACGAAATCGTCTAATCCTTCAGAAAGACAAATTGGAAACTCTTTGTCGCGAGCTCCAGAAACAAAACAAAATAATTCAGGTGGGCTAATCTTGTGTTCTGTTTCAGCGGTATCTTTTCTTTGTGTAAAAGTAGACCTTAAAAGTGCTGGCATACTCAGTTTCTCAGGAGACAGTAGTTGCGTACCAATGTAGATCAGTAAACATGATTATATCCATTTTTATCTCAAGATTTTGATGAAATTCGAAATATTTTTAGCTCAGTTCTGGTTTCGATCATGCGCTACCTAACTCCGGGTGATACAAATGGATATCCAGAGTATCAAAATGGCTCAGAAAATCGAGAAAGAGAGATGTGCTAAATGATTTTGTCTTTTTTGCACTGTACGATATTTTTGTCTATCAAAGACTATTTTGTTTGGATGTGAGGGAAAGATTTTGAGTCGTCTCGCCGTTATACCCTGAAAGGCCGAGCACGCCCGAAATTTCTGTTAGTTTTTTTATCTCCTCCCCTTTGACGTGCCACTAGTCTGGCCTCCACGAGCTTTGTACCATCCACGGATTGCCACAAGCCCATTTTTGAGCAAAGTTAAATGATCTCTAGCGGGTTTTCGCTTTACGCTTAGGAGAACTAGCACCTAGGTGAATAAATCAGCTCGAGTTCACTATATGCACGGTCGTGGACGATCGTCCACTTACCGTATGATATTGTTGATTTTCCCCTAGCTAGCAACCACATGTCTGACGACGGCATTGTATCTTGTGTCGGTAAATCCCTCCACAAGACAAGAGCAATACTCTCTTGTTCCGTCTACCAAGGGAATACAAGGTCTATTTATTCTGAACTTCTACAACTAGGGAATGTCAGATTTCCTAGTTTGGTGAAATATTATCCACGAAGTCATCTGAATCTCCATCACCAGCTGCAAACATCACTGCAACGATTCAGGCTCTTGCTACGGCGCTCCCGGAAAGCGACCCCATTTATGCTTCCCCCAGGGTCCGGGGTATCGAATCAGCAACCACGAAACCTTCCACCTCGAAGCAGTATGAGCATAGCATGCTGGGGCATTCGAACTTTTCCATTGTTGACCACTGTGTGTAAATAATTCGTAGAGAAGCCACTGAGCAATCATTCTGAACAGTTGTCCTACTCGTCGGAGGTTTTGCTGTGGGGTGACGGGCTGGAGCAGAGACTTTCAAGCCCACTCGGTAGTGTTTAAAGGGTGCTCTGAAATTCGGGACTATGACGATTGTTGGTGTTCGGTAAATATGGTAATTTTCGCGTACCTGACTAAGACAGTAAACTATCTAATCACAAGTTGAAGGAAATTCAATTAGATGATCTGTAATTTATTCCTGCCCTTCAGATTAAATTATGCGGAGGAAAACAGACACCAATGTTTTCGATGCTATTAAAATCAAACTGATTTCACAGTAACCACTCATACCGCCAAAATGCACTACCATTCTCAAAGGCAAAGACTTTTTTCATTGCACTATTGTGTGATAAACAACAGACGGGGCAACCTCCGTGGTAACGAGGACCTGTTGTTCATCCACGGAAACTGGCAACCTAAACTCTCGAACTTATAGCGGTAAACCGCAGAAGTCCCCTCTAGGTTAGGTGTGGTATTGAGCCGAAAAACAGTGAAGTTACCTACCACCAAAGTTAGATGAAACGGTTTCAAACCTCGGACCCTGGAGATCAGTGACACCAACTTAAACTGTTTGACCGGCCCCACCATAGCTTAGTGAAACGCAGTTTATCCCTCAAGTGCTCATTGTGCGCTTGGTTTTGCGTCTGTCCTGATCGGTGCGTCGATGCAATTTCTATATCGATAATTTACAGCTTTTTCCACTAGGATCGCCTTCTACTTTTGATCGGTTCGATTTCAGACCCCTTAGGAACCGCCCTTTCAGTAAGCTCAGTGGCTAATGGCTCCAGACGCCATAGACTTCTGTCAGCTATGTGGTCGATTTGGAATCCGGGTTCAACGGTCTACTAATTGTTTTTTGCCATGATAAGCTCCTGTTAGTTATTTCTACTTGTTTTGTTTGGTTATTTTTACACCCAAACAACCACTAAAAGTACCTGGGAAAAGATATCACATCGAAAGTTGGAACGGATGTCTTTGAAGAAATTGTGTGTTGTGCTCATAGTATAAGTCAAGTCAATTGACTTGAAAAAGGCCTTCGAAGAGGGTCGAAACGTCGCCAACCGAAAATTGTTGTTTTTGTTTTTCTCATTGTGGCTAATCCAAGCATTCCTATACGGGTCTAACCTGGGAAAAAGCATTGTTCTTTTTTCCTAATTCTATCGTTTTCGTTTCAAATTTTAAACAATGAGGTAAAAGAATAAGCATCCTTAAAACACTTTGTCAAACAATAGATTGCAGTACAGATGAACAAACGTGAGTGTTGTTGTCTGATAAAAGTAACATCTTTGAGCTGTTGTTTTATCCTGTCTCCTGAGGCCCATCCCATCTCTTTGATCGCCACCATTAAATCAACTCTCAACCCCATGCCTCCGAGAAGCTGAGATATGCATCAGTCACACTCCGGGAAACCGTGAATAGGACGAACAAAGCTTCGTCTTCGGGGGGGGGGGGGGGGNCCAACAGCTGTGGCAGAAATCTTCTCAGCCTATCAAGAGCATGAATCCATGGGTTGAATCCGCATTGACCGAGTGGTGAGTGCACCAGCTGCTAGGAAACTACCGGTAATCATGCACCAGAACACTGATACCTTGCATTGTACCCTTGGTTGTTCTTTTGACAAAAGTTGTATTGTATCAAACTGCTATAAAACTCTGTCCTTCATGAAGCCTGTTTGTGGGCCCAAGGATCCGAGGATGTTGAGGGTTTACGGTAATGGTAGTAGCATCTGTGGCTCAGGAACCTGACACGTTTCAAGGAAACAGTTTTTTTCCATTGGTCCTCATCAAACATAGTTCTCAATTTCGGTCACATCCCAATAACTGCATGGTATGCGAGGAGAGCTGCGTTCCTCCTCCTCCTATGCTTGTGAAACAGTCCCAGTGGACTGATCGCACGAGATCGTATTCTCTCCATCTGGATACTAGAGGCACCGTATGAATCCAAGCGTCACACGGTCTCCGAGGTCACAATTGGTTACATTAAGGATTCTTCCAATATTAACGCTGCAGTCATTATGACCATTATTTGCGTAATTGATTTACGCAGTTCTGCTAAATAAATCATTATTTAACTACAGCACAGTTGATAATAGAATAGACAGGGGTAGTTGGAGAAACAGATTTATGAAGGAAATCAGAGTTTAGAAAGAGTTGTTGTAATTGTGATGTAATTGGGATGCGTGTTGTTTGTGTGTGTATCTGAGGCCGGTGATGGATGAAGTAGGGTGGTTGTGAATTAATGAAATTTTACTATCGGAGCTTACATCATCCGATTGTATGTAAAGAGCCTCATCATCGTACAGCCGTAAACCGGTGTTCTTACATATTATGACTGATTATTTTTCTAACGATTTTTCCCGCGCGTGATTTCTGGCAAATTCCATCAACATCACGTCATGCCCAAGGGGGGATATTATTCGGAAGCCTCAGTATGGTCGTTGTGGGTGTCTTGGGTTGCGGCTGGTCACTTTTCCCTTACACCTCGCGAAATGCTCTCATACGACCAAACGTCTCAAACAGCATCTGCTGGGGAAATCCTACTCTTTACCTTCTCTTGGCGGGTGTTTTTCTACCAATGTGAGACGACAAAAAGCCAACATCCGGGGCTATAACCGGGTCGGTGAACCGTTGGTAATTCACGTTGGAGAGTTGGCTAAAAACCCTGTTTCCAAACCAACCAAGAGGAGACGTACGAACCACACCCACCAACCTGGTTGTGGCAGTGGTTACAGGCTCGATTGCACATCAAGGTGTATTGGGCACCTTGAACGTTTGTTCCCGTCCGAAGAATGTATGATCCAACTACCTGGACACCAGCCCCCAATGGACTGCGGACTCTGAGCTCTGCTCTGCTATCTTCCAGGTCTGGCTTTCTAGCCAAAAGGTTAGGGTGGGGGTCCCGAGTTTATCCCCTTTCCTCGGTTAGGGCAACCCTGGAGGTAACATGGTCACACAACCTATGAATGTATTCTACCGGTTTTTTTATGCAGATGTGACGCATTTGCTAGTTCTGTTTAATTGGTTTGGTGTTGAAATAATGATGATTTTAGGGGTGCGGCGGGGGGGGGGGGGGGGGAAAGGGAATCAAGTGCATTGCTTTTCCACTGCTCCTATGCTCTACTGAGCATCCCTGGAGGCTATCACCAATAACCATTCCCTGTCACACCAAACACTTACTCTGGACCCGATATGGAAAGATTTGAGGCATCCGGAAGAACTTTCCCTTAACTTTTTGTTTATTTAACACAGACACCGAATTCACTCACTTTGACACCGTCTGTTGTTCATGTCTTTTTCGTACCTTTGCTTTGTTTTACTATAGGAAGAAAGTTTGGCTCGGGTTCGTGCAGAAGACGAGAAGCGTCGTGAAGTGGCGGATCATTTTCAAACCAGTATCACATCAATTCAAACCCAACTGAATGAATATCAGAGTCNACTGCGAAAGGAAAATCAGGATTTGGCTGATAAACTGGGCGATTTTATCAAGCAACATGAGAAACGAGAGGAGCACATGCAAAAGGTGTGTGTTTGTTTTTTAATCATCTATGTGTTCTCTCGCTCACTCAGCGATCATAAATATGCCTAAATGTGCCCGATGATTTGTTGACACTTGACCTGTTTTCTTGTCTATTTACATAGACCTGAATTAAGTATAACAGAATTATCACTTATCCAGTATGTTTCGCAAATACCCAACTTCTCCAATGGATAGCTGATCAGACTTCTCGTCGATTTTCTTCGCGGAATCATGTTTCCACGATAGCGCGCTGATTGTATCCTCCCCCGCCTAGTCTGATTTCGTAGCGAAAAGATAACTGCAACCGATCAGTCATGATTTTATTGAATCGTGCGACAGCTAAACCGTACTGCACATGGCAGTAGTGGAATCTTTTTTCAGTCCTTTTTACATGCATGTCTACCAGAACACGCATCTCCTCAAACAACTTTCAACTTTCTCTGTGCCGCGACTCTCTCTATCGTGTATTTGTTCACCACGTGATCGTCTTGTGAGTGGTTCACTCAGTGCGACGCGATGGCGTAATATGACTACACCACCATTTGGTCAGAGCTCGATGTGTGTATGTGTGTGTCTGGTGCATGGGTCATGTGACAAAACCTTTGGCACACAAGTGTGTCTCTGCTGTGAAATCAGCAACCTGCCTCTCCCCTGTGTTGCCAAACACCAATTCTTAAATGAAATATTTTGAAAAATTCACATCATTACTGATTGCACATGCCTATGCGGTTCTCGCGTATGAAGTCCTATTTTACATGGAATGCTTTCGAATCATCTGTCTCTTGCGAGTCCACCATCAACAATATTCTGTCCTAGGGTTTCACTGGAAGTCGTCTTCGACATCACACGCTTTTATAGTCAGTGGTGTCTTTACCCACGCCAATTTCGTCAAGAGGAAAATTTAGTTGTTGTATAGGAGTAATGGGGGATTTGATTTGTTTTTATACGATGAAGCGAGGACCGATACTCGCAGTAAGCTCGCATAGACGGGTTGTGTGCTATATCGTGTAAATTCAAAAAAAGTGAGAAGCGGTCTGATCAGCTGTCCGGTGGCCGAGTGGGTATTATGCTTGCGTTCTACCTGTGAAGTCCCGGGTTTGATCTCCAGTTGGGTATACACTACTGATGAGACCCAACCAGGTCGAATCAGCTGTCCAGTGCTTCTCAGATTTGTCAGCTCACGCCTCACTCGCACGATGAACTCACCATATGAAAAGGAAAAATTATTGCTGTTGCTAGTGTTGTGGTGTAGTATGTTTGGATTACGCAAAAGAATGCGGTTGGCGGTTTCTCACAACGGTTATAAATAAAAAAGACCTCCTAGATCGAAGTACCGTGTTCAAAATTGTCACTACATCTACCGTCGGACCTTTCCATTAATTATCTTACTTGCTTGTGGTAATGATGACAACCTGTGCCAAATAAGACATTTTGTTTTATCTACCTCAGTTTATCGTCGCCCTTGCGATTGTTCGTAATAAACAACTCTCCTCTTCCGGGCAGTCTTGTGGATTTATAAAACTAGTATCTTTGCGGATAATTGATGAAGCGGTTGTGTTTACATTTGAAGCAAAATCTTACTTCTGCTAACACCGTAATTGAAGAGTTGCGTTGGTCATAGGGGTTCGGAGGTTTTCGTCACTGTTAATGATATTTTCCTTGTTTTGAGGTTCAATGGTCGAACTTTCGTTGTAGACCGCTTCTCTACTGTACCACCGAATAGCATAGTCGCTCAATCATTGGTTTATATTGGTCACTGCTCCAAATCACTATTTGAACTGTTTGTTTGTCATCACCGAACGATGAGTCCTCCTTTTGCTTTACATCCCATTTGGATGTGTAATGATCAAGCAACTATTCCACTGCACAGTTTCACGTATGCACAATTGGCCACCACTAATTGAAGGGAAGGGTGACCAGTCACAATCCGAAGACACCTATCCGCAGCCATACTGCAGCTTTCGGAGGCGTTTAAATCAATAATAGAGATCACATGGGACTACTCCAATAACTGGGTTAAATGTTGACTAAGTTGAGGGATAGGGGTAGATAGTTGTAGCAGTTAAAGGGAAATGAGAGAACTAGAATAATGTCAGCACCAAATCGGTGCATGAGCACATCTGTCAACAAAATCACCTACCCGTGTTATTCACACTCAGGAACCATAGCTGATGATGTGCCTTGAGATGACAACCAGGAAATCGAACTCAATCGACACAACTTAATGTATCGGTCAAGGTCTACTATATTGTACGAAAGTTACATTTTGAGCAGTGGGATTCTGTACAATGAATGGCACGCTACCAATGCCTTACCTATTGCTATGGGCGGAATGTGAAGCGTTTGTGTCACTGGGTTGTGATGACCACGCGGTTGAAGTTGCCGTTTCTGGCGTTGTTTGGACCCTGATATCCGAGGTTTGTTCCTTGCCGCCTCCATACATTCTATACAGTTCTGCAGCTTCGCTGTCTTCCCGGATCAACTTCACATTCTACTGGATCCAACTGTGGTTCACGGTTCCATGACCCAAAGGTTGTCATGTTTATTTTGCTGACTCAGACGAATAATTCATCTTTGCATCATTTATTGGGTCTATAGTGCTTTAACGATTTTCTGTTGTAGACGTTGGAATACTTATTTGAGGTGAATTTGCTTTTCGATTCCATAGTAGAAGTAAGAGGGAGTCCTCAATATTAGAGACCAAATGGGTTCAGCAAAAGTTTTAAGGAGAACGGAAAACCTAAATAAGAAGTTAAGAATGCGTGTGTCGTAACCACGAATCGATGGTTGCACACGCAGGCACCAGCTCGATTGTAACCGAAGATAGTTGAGAGGATAAAGGTGGATGGTTTCTGAAGTTGATCACAAATTGGGCTTTGTGTTAAGCGCACTGACGGAGATGGTGCCGAGTCCCCGTTACGGTTCAAACAGCGCGCCCTCTATTCAGAGCGGAATAATGGTGCGTTTGAGCGTACGAGGGTTCTTGCATGTATATCATGGAGGTGAGTTGGAAGAAAGGACCGACACGCCTTTCAAGCGACTTCAAGCGGTGGTCAACATCAAACTGCGCGGACAACTGTCGAGCCGTCTACTACGATTGCTGCGATGATCGAAGTTGTGTGAACCGATTTCGGTTTACGTTTGATCTTACTAACTAACCACAGTCAATCTCCTGCTATGTTGCACCCCTGAGAATTCCCATTTTCCAATATCTTACCGCTTTTTCGGAAACCCAAACCAACCGTATGCATAACAATGTAGTTTCTGACTATGCAATGTCGCAGTGCCTGATACGTACTCACTTGGTCGTTGGCCAATGTTCGGGACCGCCATTCACCATCCATCCTGAAATATCGCAGTCAACCAATGGCGTTTCATCTATTATGACACGTTCATGGCACTGTTCACTGATTGGATACTCCTTGCGAGGAAGTCACACCGATGCGAGGGATTGGAGACAGTGTGATTTGACATCAAAATGTACAAACACCCGTCTATCAGAGAGAAGCAGAATGTGTTGGAAATGCTGAAATAGCCAGGTGAAACTCAGAGCTCCATAGCCAAATCACTTGGAATTTCATGAACTCATGAACTCTGTCTTCAGTGTTGTATCCCATCGAACGACTATCGGGGGATTTTCGAACGCTGGAGCATCTGAGGATAGATGCCACCTGAAAACCAACGAAAAGTTCAAGACAGCGAATGAAGCAACTTTGGCTTGGTTTGCTGCTATGAGGGAAAAGCACGGAGAGTTCCCAATAGGAGAGAGCATCGTACGTAAGAAGGCACCACAGCTAGCACAAAGATTGCATAATAATGACTTCAAGGCTTCCAAAGGTTGATCTCTCTCTTGGTCAGACAGATATGGTATTCAGTAGAACAGAGTAAGAAACAAGCAACTCATATGCATTACTTTATAGGTCTGTGGGCAAAGTTTAGAGGCACCACGTGATTCAGTGGACGAGTTTCGAGCGGGGTTACCGCATTTGATANACATGGATATACTAACTGTGATATGTTCAATGTAAATGAAACAGATTTGTGTTACAGACAGCTCCCAGAAATAACATTTAGTCTAAAAGGAAAGTCAGTTTCTAGATCCAAGAAATCCCAAGAGAGGGTCACGTTACTGCTTTGTGGTAGCATGGCTGGAGAAAAGTTATCACCGTTGGTGATTAGAAAGTTTCAAACTCCACGATGCCTCCGAGGTATAGATAGAAAAAGCCTTCCATGCAGTTCTAATTCTTCAAAGAACCTATGGATGACCTCTGCGTTATTTCACAGTTGGCTGTCCGATGTCAACCGCAAAATGGTTCCTCAAAGACGCTCTATTTTACTATTTATGGACAACGCCTGATGTCATAACCAAGCGGCAGTATTCCCCAATGTCAACTTGGTACGCCTGCCTCCGAACTGTTCTTCAATGTCACAACCAATGGATCAGGGTGTGATCTGGTCTTTCAAATGTCCATATGTTTCGGAAACATTTACTAGAATATTTTTTGTCTTTGGTCAAAGATGAGCAACTTATCATGAAAGCCGAGGTGGACATTCTCATGGCCGTGCATCTGGTCAAGAAAGCTTGGCTGTCTGATACCGCACGTACTGATCAATGCTTTCATGAAGTCTAGGTTCAAATCCACTGGTGGACGTTTTTCCTTTAATTGGTTTATAGTGATGTGATTATTATAGCTAAAACAGCTATATATTATGATGGACGTACGTCATATACTCAATTGTGTGATTAATCAAGCTTGCAACGAACTGGAGAAATATCTGGAATTATTATAGGATAATTGTGTTAGGAAAAATTTCCCAGAAGAAAGATAAGTAGTTTCGGGATAACTAGACACATTTAAGACAAAAAGAGCTGAAAATCGCATGCAATGCACCGATATTAAGCTGAGGACATCATAAAAGATTTTAATTTCTTCGATAAATAAAAGATACGCAGGACGGTATATATAAATTTCAATTATGAATAAACAGTACTATCTATAAACATTGGGTATAAGTAATGGAATTAACGAACTTTTCATCAATCCGGTTTATTTTTTTCACAAAAACTCAATCGATTTTTCATACTTCTTTATGGCATCTACTACTGACCAACGCTTGCTGTGTCGCAGTTCCTGGAATCTACCCACTTTTTCGAATTCCCGAGGGGTGCAACATAGCTAGAGACGGACTGTAACTAACTAACCTACTGACTTACTCGAGAGATCACGGTCAATTGTAATGTAATTCCATTCGCCTCCTCTCATCACCCCTTTCTGTAGGTCATGCAAACGCGGGAATTGGAAGTCAAATTAGCCGAGGCGAAAGCAAATAAAATCCAGTGTCAGCTGGATCAAGAGCGTGTGAAAGGGCAACAACAGTTGATCCGAATGGAAGAAGAATCCAAACTGATGAAAGAGCGTATGGAAATGCACACTAATTTGGAAAACAAACTAAAAGAACAAGTCAGTTGTGTATCGATTGGTTCTCATTTTGCGGTAATTTTTCATTATTATCAAGTCAAACGATGTGAATGAATCCTCGGGCTGTGCGCATTTTATAGTAGTCCTTTTTTCCTTTCCCATCTATTCATTATATCATTCCATGATCTTTTTTCTCTGCTATACCGTGTTGTCCCTGACGATAGCGATTACTGTTTGATTATCTGAACAATCCTGAACAAATGCTAGTGAGATACATACATTTTTATTTTCACACAAATCTGAGTTCAGACTGTGCCGAACAAACCATGGTATAATAATCTTGGTAGAAAAGAAAAGCCCCATGATTTGCATGTGGGCTCAGTTCAAGATAGGTGAATTTTCTTGAGGAATCCACATTCGGAGCTTTCGGCTAGCGCAAGGCAGCTGGGCGGTGTGTGAAAATCACAATCCATTGGGAGCCGGTGTCCAGTTCATTGGATCATACATCCTTCGGACGGGGTCAAAGTCCAAGGTGCCAAATTGGGCTGGTGACCACTACCACAATCAGGAAGTTGTGTGTGTGATTCGTACGCCTCCTCATTGTTGGTTTGGAATCAGGGTTTTCGACCAACTCCCCTAGGTGAAGTGCCAGTGGTCCACCAATGCGGTTATAGCCCCGGATATCGGCTTTTCGTCCTCTCATTTTGCTGGGCAAGTACCTCAACTCGAGAAGACAGTGAGCAGGGTACCCTCAGCTCAGGCTACTCGAGACGAATGGTCGTATGAAAGCATTTTATGAGGTGCAAGGGCCGGGTGACCAGCCGCAACCCTAGACACCCACCCCCGATCATACTGAGGATTCCAGAGTCTAACTCCTTGCCTCAACGGTGGTTGTTCTTCATGGACGGAGCAAAAACAAATAGGGAACAATGACGTTCAAACTATAAGAAACGTGGATCAATATTTTATTCTATCAAAAAATTCATTGTCGTTTGTGATATTATGTATATAATCCCAAACTTGAAACAGACAACTTGGCAAACAACAGAAAATAATGACAGACTTCACGGTTCATATTGGATTCCAATTTGGAAGCAACGTGTTACCCAGCGCTTCACCTAAAACAATCAATCCATTCTGTTCTGTTTGTTTTCACTTCGGTTAGATTGAGTTCTACAAAACCAAATACAAAAGTTTCAACAAAACCGTCGCTGATAACAATCGTTTGTTTGACAATGCTAAAGAAGAAATGGAAAAAGTAAGTCCCCCGCTGCCTCTCCAGCACGTATTTGTTTCTCAGGTTTGACCGTTTTATCCTTGCCGTTTACAAGTCCATATCTCTTTTTGTCGAGCATTAAGAATTCGCAATGATTTGGTAGGATGCTCGCTGAGCCCCACTGGGTGATGTATGCAACTGTCTCAGTTTCATAGATATTTAAATTGAATACTCTTTCACACGTGCGTATGGTTATATATACACATACACTTTAGCTATTGTTTCGCTATTCATTAAGCGTGAATAAATAGGTGTGGCTGTGCAAGTATATATATATATACACGTGCAGCAATCGGTCCCCCTTACCAGTGGACAGATGGATTGAGTTCAAAAACTCCTACCAATCGATCGATATTTGATGCAGTTTCTCCTCTTTGTAAGATATCTCAACTGAATTTTAATATGGTGCTTAGAAGACCAAGCACTGCTGTCCGTCCGTTGCTACTGGGCAAAAATGACGTCCACTTCCACATGACTTGTACTAATCTGTTTCCCACACATGCCCCACTGAGCGTGACTGTCCAATCTTTGAACCACCTTTGCAGCGTTTCATTTCTACACTTGTGTAGCCAGTTCCGCTCACATGCTTTTGTGATAGTATACGTGTCTGTTTACCGGATAATTGGAAGTAAATATGGCCCCTCTCGGTCTGTTTGTTCAGTTGTATCTTTAGTTCGTTCTCCCCAGTCTTTCTTGTTCTCGTGCATCAAGGTACACACGCACACACACATGTGTGTGCGTACTTCGCTCACGATTCCTTTCCTTCTCGCCCATGTTTCGTTCGTTCGGGTACATCTGCCAGTACCGAAACACAATCTCATCGATTCTGCACACTTCCGGGTGATCGATGGACGACCGCGCTGTGGGTATGCTTCCTGGGTGCACTCGTAATGCACAGTGGAGGGAAACTTGTCCGGTATCAGCTGACTGAAATTCCGTGTTTGCCGTGCAAAGCTGTCCAATGTTGATTGCAAACAGATTGAAACGTAGTCCGATAGGAGAACTTTGGTGGGAGGTGGTTGTACGTACACTGTTAGTGTACGTTGATCCCGTAGGAGCCGTGAACTTTGCCCGTGGATGACTCTAACCTGTCCTACTGCTCTGTAGTTAAAGAAGAAACTTTCATCAACTTTGTTGATAGTCACAGAATGTGCTGTCACATCTTAGCAGATAGGAGGTCGTCGGTAACTTAGTCCCACTAGTTATGCGCACGATATGGGCCGAGAACGGCTATGGACAACAGAACAAAGTCCAGTAAAGTAGCAGTGTTAATCGGTTAGTTGTATAGATCGTGGTTCTAAAATTATACAGCAATAATAAGATAGCAAATGTAACTTACAGCCTGGTGAGCAACCAAATCACGCCAACAGTTCGTGAAATCAATGATATGCACGAAGTCTACCGGATAAGCGTAACAGTAGCGTAGCAGTGAAATTCAAATCGGCAGGTTGCGATCCGATATGAGAAAGACTTACAGTACAGTTTAGTTTCGGAATAAAACAAAATGGAGGGAAAGTGCAATAGATTCAAAAGTAATTTGTATATCGATTATGAAAAGTTCAGTAGCCTCGGTGGGATTCGAACCCACGCATGGACGCCGCCTACGCTTTATACGCGCATGCTCTACCAGCTGAGCTACGAGGCCACACCGATAGTACTTGCCTTAGAAGCTCATTCGGTGGAGTCCGGTGAATTCTAAGGAAAACCTGTCGGGGCAGTCAGCTTA